GAAGTCTCTGCTGACCTTTGAGCTGTCAAGGCTGAAGTTAAAGGGGTCAAGGAAAAGCTCTCTTCCGTGCAAGAAGCTGTGCGCGCCAATGCTGAGACCATTTCTACTTTAAACAACAAGGCCGATGAAGCAAATGCCCATCTCGCCAATCATACGTCGTTGATGCAGCAGATACTTGAGATCGTCCAGCGACCAGTACCACCACCTGCTCTATCCTTCACCATAGAAGATCGCCTCCAACTAGATCAAACTCTAGAATGCACTCTTCTTCAAGCTCGAGCGCTGACAAAGCTTGAACAAATGGTGGAGATTCAGACACGAACTATGGACAACTTCTTCTAGTATCATGCTGATCTCAAAGAGGGGGAGAAAGAGTTGAATGCTGCTGCTGATGCTGAAGCTACTGCTGTCCCAGCGACTCATACTGAAGCTGAAGCTCCTAAAGCGCCAGCTAATGAAGTTGAGGTTGCTGATGAAAATCCAACTTCCCGTGAAGCTCCTATAGCTGAGGATGTTGATGAAACTGTCAGAGCAGACGTTGAAGCTCATGACGAAGACCTTCCAATCACCTCTGTAACTGATGTTGGTGATATGGAAGATGATGATGAAGATGATAATTATGACGATGAAGACGATGATTCCCCCAACCTTCCTGACGCTGGTAAGGATCTTGGTGACGATGATGATGAAAATGACGATGATGAAAATTTCTCCATGCAGAACCAGAGACCAGCTGGTGCCATGAAAGGTGTTTCTCTCAGGGATTCTGTATCCCAGGGGGAGAAAGGGGAGAATAAGAAGGAGACCTCAGAAAAGAACCAGAACACCAAGTCAAAAGACAAGGGTGTTGTTGAAGAAGGAAACCTCAAGGTACATTTCCAACCTTTTGAGCCCTTAAATACTGACTCCTCTAGCTTTACCACCATTACCTCTCTTTGTAAGCTCTCCATCCCATCTACTACCTGTGGTCGGCTAGAGAAATGGGTACCTAAAAACCCAATAGCAGAGAGTGCAATGTCTCCATCTCTTAGCTTATGATATTATTTTTGGTTCCACTAATCCCTCTTTATATTTTCGGTTCGCTGATCACATGAAGAAAAAAATACCATATGAGTATGATGGGAGAACTAACCTTCTTTTTAGGTCTCTAGATCAAGCAGTCAGATAAACGTATCTTTATCAGTTAGAGTAAGTATGTCCGTGATATGTTGAAAAAGTTTGATCTCTCTAACAGTTCATCTATGAAAACTCCTATGGCTCCTCCACTTTCTCTCAACAAGGATCCAAATGGAAAGCCTGTACACATAACTATTTCTAGAGGAATGATTGGCTCCCTGTTGTATCTTACAACTAATCAACCAGATATCATGTATTCTACTTGCTTATGTGCACGATATCAATCTGAACATAAGGAATCCCATCTGATTGCTGTAAAATGCATTTTCATATACCTGAAGGGAACTCCTAATTTGGGTCTCTGGTACCCTAAGGGTTTAGGTTTTGACCTAATAGGTTACTCGGATGTGATTTTGCAGGTTGCAAAATTGGTAGGAAAAGCACCAATAGAGGCTATTAGTTTCTAGGTGGAAAGTTGGTGAGCTGGACAAGTAAAAAGCAAAACTCGGTGTCTACATCAACCGATAAAAATGAATATGTTGCCGCTGGAAGTTGTTGTGCCCAAGTCTTTTAGATGAAAAACCAGCTCAACGACTACGATCTTCAATTTTCAAAGATTCCTATCTATTGTGATAACACTAGTGCTATCGCTATTGCAAACACCCCTGTTCTTCATTCCAAGATCAAACATATTGAGATAAGATATCATTTTATCAGAGATCATGTTATGAATGGTAATATTGAACTTCACTTTGTTCCCACTGATTACCAGCTCGCTGACCTTTTCACAGAGCCTCTTGATGAGACAAGATTTAACATCTTGATCAACGAACTTGGAATGGTAAATGCTGAAGATTAATTTCCTTCACCTGTACACATCAATCAATTAGTGAAATGATTCAGTGCTCTCATTCTATCACTGAACTCTTGAGTAAATGTATCTATTCTTTCTAAGGTATGTGTACTCGGTCTTCTTCTTTAAAACTTAAAACTATCACTAAAGCTTTTCTTCTTTAGTGATCAAAATGTTTTAAAAGATTGTTTCAGTGATTCCTTGTATCGCTGAACATTTTAAATAAGTATATCTCTTTTATACTTATCTTTTCTTAAAATCAAAATGATCACTGAATCTTTCTTCTTTCAGTTATTCAAAAGTTTTTAAAAGATAGTTTCAGTGTTTCTCTTATCATTGACTCTTTTATTGAAAATATATTCTTCTAAGATATATTTCTTTCTTAAAACAAAACCATCACTGAAGCTTTCTTCTTCAGTGATCAAATGTTTTAAAAGGTTTTTAATTCATTGATTATGTTATCCTTGAATGTGACTCTTTTGAATTTTCTTAAAACCTTTTTGTTTTAAAAGAAATAGATTATGAATCGTCTTTATGACGACATTCTATGTTACCAATACGAGTTGCTTTGAGACGCACGTAAAAGTCTGACACACGCGACCTCCTCCAAATTCCATCCAATCATGGATGAAAATGTGCCACTTTTTCATCATGGCATTTCCTCAACAGTCGTATTTTCCTCTCTCCTATTTATTTTGTTCTCTCCTCCTACCTGTAAATATGAGACTTCTCTTCTCATATTTTCTTTACGCATTCAAAATCTTTGACGAACCTCTGTCAAAACATATTTGCAAGTAAGAACAAACTAAGAACGCTCAAAAACCTTCGATCCTTTTCTCCTAAATCTCTAAGGTTGATACTTCTTTTATATTTTGAATTGTTCTTCTTATTTCTATGAAACTGTTGTTTGTATCTTTAAGAACTTCTCTCAAAATACAAACATTAAGATTACTAACACATTCTTTTTATTGGTTATAATCTAAAGTTTTGAAACACTTATTCTTCTTGAAAAACCTAGTAATTTCCTTGTGGATTTTTCAAAAGAAGTTTTATTGTTCAAAAACTTAAAAGCTCACATCCTAATCTTGGACTACTAACAAAACTGTTATATCTTATTTCTTACCTTTAACAGACAATGGCTTCCAAGAACGTGAACTTTTTACTCGAAGACGTGGCCTTCAAGGAAAACAACCATGTCGCCTTGTTGGACATCCCTTCAAACAAATCTCTTTACGAGGATGCTGCTTCTTTCCTTAAGATGTCACCAATCCCTTACGCTCTCACCCATGAACCTGTCATGGTGAAAGAAGCTCTTCAGCAATTCTGGATGACCGCTGAAGTAGTGCAGGATACTGACAAGCACGATTGACAGGTGGAGAAAATCTCATTCACCTTCAACCGTATGACCGTCAGCTTTGGCATCATAACACTAAGCCATGCTCTTCGATTTCCCAAGGGTTCATTCATCAGTGATCCTTCAACTGGAATCATCATCGCCTGTCTCGATGATATTGGCTATGCCTGGCCAACAAAGAAAGACTCCAGCAAACCTCTAAAGTTGATGTCGAAGATCGAGAAGAACCGCATGTCAACAGTGTGGCAGTACCTCTTCTCCCACTTCATCTAGTGCATGAGAGGCAAGACTAGAGATCAAGATCAAGCCTCAAGGGTTGCTCTCAACATCGGCGTGTCTGTCATTCACCGACGACTTATCGACTACGCCGATGTGATCTTCGAGGACCTGGCGCTGAAGTTGAACAAGCGCCAGAGGGAGAAAGTTGTTTCTTACACCAAGTTTCTTTCTATGGTGTTCGCCAAAATCTTCGGCGACAAGTACTCCAAGAAAGGTAACCTTCCTATCTGTAAGCTTGGATCCAGGATTCTGAATCATAAGCTGAGGAATGGGGACATTGCACTCTCTGCTATAGTGCAACCTGTCTCTTCAATTCCTCCTCCTCCTTCTTCTTCTTCTTCTTCTTCTTCTTCTTCTTCTTCTCCTTCTTAGGTGGTTTAGACTAAGAAAACCCCCCGAAGTCTATCCCGACCACCACCACCCTCTCTAGCAAATGCCCATCTTCTCAACCCAGTCTTGATTCTACATCGAGGGCCATGAAGGCCAAAAAGGAGATACCCACGTCTCTGGATGTGACCTCTCAGAAGGTCTCAACTACTGACACTAGCCTTACCCCCAAGGCACTTTCAGCTATCCTTCCCATCTCTTAAGTGATATCTGAAATCACTATCATACCTGTGGCTCCGATCCCAACCGCCTCAGTGTCCCAAATCACTGAAGGTGAGATTATCAGCATCGCCACTGCTAAACACTCACGTTCTACTGTCTCGGCCATTTTCTCCTCTCTTCCATCATTGGTCTCGACACGTGTTTATGACTCATCAGCGAATGTCCTTCCTGATGATGAAACACCCACCACTGGACCTAAGACTGCTCCTCTCGAGGCATCTCAACAAACAGTCGCCTATCCTCTCGAAGGCCACTTGGAGCGAACCAACATTAACCCTTCAGATGATGTTGATGAACCCTCAGGTACGCTGCCTTCCTACCCTTTCGTTTCTACTAACCCCAAGCTCTCTTATGCTCACACTTGTTCCGTTTCAGGTCCTTTTGAAGAGATGCCAGCCATGGACAAATAGTACAACATGGCTAATGACGTGAAGTTACTCCTCCCTGTTATGGAGATTGTATTTATTAAAACGGATGAAGTCTATAAAGGCATGCCTCTTAGGGACGAAGTTTCCTACTGACCTTTCAGCCGTCCATGCTGAACTGAAAGAGGTCGAGGACCTACTCTCATCTATGCAAGTGGTTGTGCAAGCCAATGCTAAGGCCATCAACTCTTTAACCAGCAAGGCTGATGAAGTGAATTCTCATCTTTCCAAGCATACAGAGCTGATGCAGCAGGTATTGGCCACTCTCCAACAGCCAATACCAGCACCTGAATCGTCTTTCACCGTTGAAGACAACGACCAGCTAGATTAGACATGCGAAGCTACTATTCTTCTAGCCCTCGCTATGACAAAACTTGAAGAAATGATGGCGTTTCAGATACGCATTGTTGATCACTTCTTTGTCTATTCTTCCAAAGCCATAACCAAAGAGGGGGAGACAGAGTCTGAAGCTGCGGCCGCTATGGCTCCTATTGTCCCAGCGACTCATGCTGAAGCTGAAGCTCCTAGAACTGAAGTTAAAGTTGATGTCGTGAATGAAAATCCAACTTCTCATGAAGTTCCTGTAGCTGAGGATGTTGATGTCGTCCTAGCTAGTGCTGAAGTTCATGACAAAGATATTTCAATCACCTCTGTAGCTAATGCTGGTGATATGGAAGATGATGATGAAGATGAAGACGGTGAATCTCTCAATCTTCCTGATGCTGGTGAAGATCTGGATGATGATGATGATGATGATGAAGACGACGATGATAACGACTTCACCATACAGTACCAGAGACCTGCCAATACAACAAAAGGCGTCGATCTCAAGGATTCTGCATCCCAGGGGGAGCAAGGGGAGAAATAGAAGAAGACTCCAGAAAAGAACCATAACACCAAGTCGAAAGACAAGGTGTTGCTGAAGAAGGAAACTTAGAGATACTTTTCCAACCTTTAGAGCCCTTAAGTAATGAGTCCTCCAGTTTCACCACTATAACTTCTCTATATCAACTCTCCATCACTTCCACTACCTACGGTCGGCTGGAGAAATGGGTCCCTGAAAACCCAACCCCCAACGTTCCCACAGACCAGAAGATGTCTCAGCTGAAAGAGTCGCTCGACCAAACTAGAGTAAAAATCCCTCTTCATACCTCTAGTTGTTTGAGTTCGACTTCTTGTCTGAATGTGAAAGACTCGAGGCACTCAAGGCCGAGAAAAAGCTCAGACTACAATGATAACATACTGAGGACATGTTAAAGCTGGCCAAGTCTCTTGCTACTAAAGTTCTTTCAAGGAAGAAGTCCAAAAAGATGGTGAATGCTGTCAAGGCCCAGGCTAAGCTTCTTTCTAACTAAATGCGAGAAAGCACTGAAGCTAGCTGAGCGCGACAGAAAATGGAGCGAAGAATGTTTACACAAGAGGATCAGTCCTCACCCAATTTCAAACGTCACTATCAGCGGACGGACGAAATACTTTGGAATTTTGGTCTCTATGCTCATCACCAAGGACAACCTTGACGTTGTCATGGAGTACCCTTCCTACCTTGGTGAGTATGGCTACAGTGAATGGCTGGAGATCCGCCAAGCCATTCAGCGCTCAAAGTCAAGACATAAGCCGGTTATCGAAGACATCATCGGTGAGCTGATCAAGAAGATGTCAAGATATGTTGCGGTACCTGAAAAGCCTACTTTGAAGAAAGGTGGAAGAAGAAGACCTTCAAGTCCTAATGACGGACCATCCCTGAAAAATGAACATAAAACAAAGTTCTCCTTAGATGAAGTTCTGAAGGCTTCGAAGAAGCCAGACATTCCTATATTGAATCTTTCCTTGCCAGCGAAGGGTCCTTACATACCCAACACAGTGCACATGAAGCCTGAGTTAGGATTTATCTTCCTTGACTATGAAGGCGAAGTCAGCTTTCAAAGAATGTCTGAGTTACATCTCTGTCCAATGGAACATCTCGCGTATATCAGATTTTGGCTAGACGATGATATATATGATGAAATGATGGACCGCAAGAGCAGAAGATAATTTCTACATCGAAAGGAGCTCGGAGAAGAAGTACCTAGCTACATCAACCTGAGTAACTTAGATTAGTTATAGAATTCTATTTTGTACCTTGTCTTTCATTGTATGTCTTTTGTTTCTATGTCTTCTTTCAGTGTTCAGCTTATATTTTGTAAGTCTAAGAAATGTACTGAAAAACTTGTAATTTTTCTATTGAATTAATATAAGTATTTCATCTGCATCACTGAAAAAGATCTCTGAAAAAGATCTCTGAAAAGAGTAATAGGGATACATGTCTATGAGTTCCATTGTTCTTTTACAGTCACAGAAAATGTATAAGTCAGTGAACATGCTTTCAGTTTCCCTTCCTGTACTTTTTCTTAAACTTGTAACTTAAAAAAACTTATTAATTAATAACTGACTCACTGAAAAAGATCCCAAAATAGTAAAAATAAACATATACTTTATATGTAACTTTTCCTTACTATCATTTAATAAGGCAACTTTCTTTATGTTGCTTTGTTATCGTCAAACAGGGGGAGATTGTTGATCCTCTCTCTCATTTATTTGATAATAATCCCTTTTACCTGTTATGAAGTATTATGTTTCTGTTCTTTCAGTTCCATCGATCATCACTGAGTCTGTTTAGTGATCGCTGAAACATGTATTGTAAATCCTACATTGACAGCTATACTTCAAGAAGACAAAACTCACACCAAAGAACCTTCAGCGAATGCTGAAGAGACCTTCAGTGTTATTCCAGCATTCAACGATCAAATGAAGCTTGTTGTGCAAGATTGTTTTTGTCTTTTCAGTCCACACACAGAGGACAAACCCATACCCTTTCTAGAGTATAATACGATACAGAGCCGACTAGTTGACTCTATTACCTACCAACTCCATGAAAGGATGTCTACTCATGAATAGGCATTTGTACTATTCACTGTAGCAAAGAACAAACTTTTCTTTAAAAGCTTGACGCGTGTTCAAACCCTACTGAAATGCATTAAATGTGTATTTAATTCAATGGGTATAAAATAGGTGAGTGCATTCTGTGGTTACAATCTGGTCAACATATGTGTGAAGACTGCCCAAGCCTCAACAAATACTGAAGAGACCTTCAGTGTTATTCCAGCATTCAACGATCAAATGAAGCTTGTTGTGCAAGATTGTTTTTGTCTTTTCATTCCACACACAGAGGACAAACCCATACCCTTTCTAGAGTATAATACGATACAGAGCCGACTAGTTGACTCTATTACCCACCAACTCCATGAAAGGATGTCTACTCATGAATAGGCATTTGTACTATTCACTGTAGCAAAGAACAAGCTTTTCTTTAAAAGCTTGATGCGTGTTCAAACCCTACTGAAATGCATTAAATGTACATTTAATTCAATGGGTATAAAATAGGTGAGTTCTCTCTCTATGCAGATATGTGCATACACACAAGAGATCATACACACATCTAAGAACACTTACGCTTATCTTCAAGCAAGTTAGAATCCCTCTCAAGTATTCTAAAAGTTCTTACCCAATAAGAACTTATTTCCTGATATGTCACTTTAAGATCAATCTTCAAGATAATCTTCAATATTCCATGGCAGATCTAAGATTAAGCATTCAAGAACTTTGAGAGGCGAAATGAGAGAAAAGGTCAAACCTTCAAACTTTGGTCAAACTCTATTATTATGTATTGAATATTACAATGGAGCTCATACAACAATTATACTAAACAAATGCTATTTATAGGGTCAAACTTAAACCCTTTTGAAGTCAAAGTCAAACTATATAAGAAAAGTCAAATACGATGACTTAAACAATTATAGACAAAATTAATCTTTTCAAAACGAATACAATTTAACACTGAATTTCAGTTATAACATTCTCCCCCTTTGTATTCAGGCTTGAAAGAATTTGATAGCGTTGAATCTCGTTTGAACTTTGTCTCTTTAAGCTCTTTATGACATCTTCAAAATCTTCAAAAATAATCTTTACTTCGAAATCTTCAGACGATCTTTTGTTGTAAAAATCTTCTAACATTCTCCCCTCGAATATAGAACAACAACGATATTCTCATTTGACAATGTAGATCAAATCTTCTTTATCTTTGAGCAAATCTTTTCTTTGCTATGAATATCTATGTGTAAACTTAGATTGTTTTAGATAGGTTATCTTTACCTTGTCTATTTTCGCATACAATCTTGTAAAAATATGTATTGATCTTTATTTATTAATATATATTTTTAAATTTGAAAATTAGTTGTGTTTGTATTAATCCCCCCTTCTACAAACAGTATTTATAAAACTCTTGTAGACCCTACCGGGACCAACACATTTGCTTATTGTCTTGGGTTTTTCTACTTTGTTGATGTTTCTCTTCATATTTCGATAGTCTATAAATTATGAAAGCTCTTATAAAAGGGGATTATTCTTCTTGGTAATTTTTTTTGATTAACTATAAAACAAAGTTTTTTGGTAGTGTTTTGCATGTTTTAAAGTTTGAATGCGATTATTGATTAAATCTTGCACAACTGATTAAAAGTCCAACAATGGTTCCAGCAAACAATCTGGGGAACCACCTTGATGTTAGTAGAGGTAAGTAAAACCATCTGCTAAGATCATTTAGGTAGCATCTGGTACACATACATGATTTGATCGGGAGTTGCTATTCGGGCCTGTTTGATGTTTATAAATGCTTTGGATCAAATATTCTTCTTTTTGATTGAAATAGACGTTTTTACAGTTGTAGAGGTCAATGGTTTTATTGTTTAGGATTAGATTAGAGCAACTCCATTCGTACTCTAAAGTAGAGTTTTGCTTAACTCCAACCAGCCTGCAACGAGAACTTAATTTTGGTAGTGCAGGCCTCCTGTTCAAACGACATAAATGTTGTATGCTTGGAGATGAGTTGATTTTTGGTGTCCATGCCCCACCAATTTGCAGTTTTTTTTAGTGTTAGAGTTGGAGTTGCTTTTAAAGGCCAAATTCACGTGTGATCGACTGCAATTTGAACAATAACTCTTATTTATTCAAAATGTATTAATATGTAAAAAAACTAAGAGCAAATCCTATCATTCAAAAAGTATTCTCTCGTGAAAACACAAAAACCCTCAAAATCGTTTACATTTACGACTCCTGCCGCATTACACGGGTACACAACTAGTTATATTCAATTAAACCTTTTTTCTTTCTTTATAAACTTTTTGAAAACTTGCCAAATATGACTCTTCACTAATTATTTATCTTAATTTACCAATATAATAAACTTTGGAGGGCTATTCTTCCTATTTGCAAAATATTGGAAAACTCCAAGTGGCCCAACATCAACCCAAAACGAAGCCCAAAGCTTAATAGCCCAACCATTAAATTTAAATATTCTATAAGATATGAAAAACACAATAAAAAAGTGAGTGATTAAATCCTAAAAGTTACTGATGAATAACTATACAATGTGGATAACCTTTAATAAATTATAAAAAATTGGTGATAAAAATTTACACATCTTAAGGTTCGTTTACTAAACACTTATACGGTAAACTGTTAATTTGGTAATTTTTCTTATCGGATGAACATGACAAGGGTCAAAAATCTTACACGGTAAGTACAATGATAAAGATGAAGAGTCTTACTCGGTAAGTGAGGGTGACGACTTTTACCCGGATAAACGCTTACCGGGTAAATTGTTGCACACGATACCATTTTGATATACTACAATCTTACCCGGTAAAATAAATTACAGTGTTGACTCCTGACAGTAAACGTTTACCGAGTAAGCATTTAGGTAAACCACCCCTAAATTTAGCACCCTTGTAGGGTACTTATATTTAGAGCTATATTTATTTAGGATCTAGTCATAAT